AGAGAGAGAGAGAGAGAGAGAGAGAGAGAGAGAGAGAGAGAGAGAGAGAGAGAGAGAGAGAGAGAGAGAGAGAGAGAGAGAGAGAGAGAGAGCACACATGAGCACAGAGTGAGTGAGTGTTTGTTTGCGCAGGTATATGTTCCTCAAAGCATCACCATTATTAATACCATTATCCCAATAGATAATTATAGAACAAAATTTTGCTTGTCAAATCATCACCATAATGTTAACAGGAAAAAAGAATCCTTATAGAGGCAGTAGAGAGTTGGCAAATTTTACCAATTTCATTCAACTAACCACCATTATATCTACGAACCTAATTGAAAAGAATGAAGTTCAATGAACACAAACACTGACTGGCTCATTGTGAAGTGTGAGTCTATCCATTTCAGTTTACTCTATAGAGGACTAATTAGAGGTGCTCGTGTGCGCTTCATGGAAAAAGAAGAAGAAGAAGAAGAAGAATGTGCGCTGCCCACTGTGTGCATAATACTCACTTTTTTTTTAATATACCTGGCTCCTTCTATTCTGGGGAGCGTCAGTTCGGTTCCTATTCCACCGGCAAGTCAAAATATATTACAACAATTACCCATCACACACGCTTCCTTCCGTCAGGCCGAAGGACCCCTGATCAGCATTGATTTCTCCACTACGGGAGGATTGACTCTCAGCTTGCCCTGTCCCTCTCTTTCCTCTCAGATCCGGAGTCCAGATCTGTCAGATAAAGCAATAGATCCTAGAAAGAACCCATCTGTTGACCTTACCCAACCTGGTCCATTCCTTAAGCCACTCCGCCCCCCCTTTGGACGGTCGGTCGTTATCATTAGACTGTCAGCTCGCCTTGTCCCACTTTTCCTCTCAGCTCTGGAATGCAGATCTGTCAGATCGATCAGTAGACCCTAGAAAGAACACCCGTTGGCTTTTCTCCCCATGGTCCTTCCCAAAAGTCATTTCGCCCCCCCTCTGGCCGGTCAACGGTTGCTAGTGGGACCTACACCCTCAGTCTGCAATCTTATCATCAAAATCGTCCGAATTAAGTCTTGGTAGGTGTTAGTAAGCTTCCGGATCTCTGAGATGGGATCCTCCTTGGCGGCCCCTGTAGATGCTCCGGTGATGTCAGGCTTGAGCTCCTTTACCACGTCGTCTGCACCCCCTGGGTCATGTTTGACCTYTTGCAGCCTAAGAGATGTTTAAAMCTTCCGGCGACGTCTGATGTTGGGGATCCCTTTCTGGATTTGAATTATGCCATTGTTTCCAGCATACCAGGTCCTGTCGCAGTTCTCCAATCTTGCCATCCGCTAGCCAGTTCCTGTAGAATCTCTGCCTCTCCTTGTTCCGCTGTTCTTCGTCTTCGGGCCAGGCGCGCTTGATCTTTCGCCATCTGCACAGGATTTCGGCTTGAATCATTGTTTTAGTTTCTATCCATACTTTCTCCCGTGGGTTGGAGAGTCCTTCAATTGTTCGACTGCATCTCTCCTTCCATATGACCCATAGGGTTACCTTTCTGATGAGCTCAAACCAGGTCCTCTCAGCCTTCCGAGCCTGATCAGGGATGTTAGTCAAGAGGAGCAGTTGAATGGGTTGTTTGGGGAAGGGGGATGAGAAGAGGGAATCCCAGAGTAAAGACGCTCTCGCCCAATATTCGGATGCTTCTTTACAGAGGACTAGGCAGTGGACTATATCTTCTACCGAGCCTTCAGTACAGACTGCACATAGTTCTGAACTGTCTGGGTCTGTGGTTTTCCGTCTAATGTGTAGCCATTGATTCACCGGCAGGGCTGTGTATACGATCAGCCATTGCAAGCTTCTGATCTTGATTGGTCTGATCAGTCTCTGATGCGTTTGAACTTTTCCCAATGTATTCGTGTGATTTTGTCTGCTTCTTGACCCACGAGGTTCCGCCATCTGTTTTTGATGATTGGGTCAGGATTTTTAGTCTTCAGAGACAATCTGTATCCGAGTTTAACTGAGTAGTCCTGGATCGGGATTTTTGCTTTGAAATTGCTAGTGGCATTTGGCTTCCAGGCCCACTCTGCTGGGTCAAATTCCAGGGATCGGACTGCCGTATCCGGTCTGAAAATTTCCTTTGGCCATGAACCTAGGACCCTTACTTTTCTTAGGAGAAAGAGTCCAATATAACTGATTCTACATTGTCATTGAAAATAGCTGGCCTGACCATCTTGGTGAAGGAGACCGGAAAGGAGAGAAAACTGGCTCTGTGTGTGAGCCTTGCTGCATGTGAGAGAATCGGAAGGCTCTAGTAGGGGGTGTGTCTTGAATCAAAAGACCCCATTCGCCCGGTCTCCAGCACTCGTCCTTTACCAGGATCTCTTTCCATTCTTGCGGAATACAATTGACTATGTATTGGAGATTGGTCTCTCACTTTGTTTTGTAAAATTTTTAATTTTCAACTTACTTCTGGTGTGCATCATTATTGGACCACACGGGAGGGGCTGCTGCGTCCTCTCCCATAGGGGAGGGGACCCTCTTCTTCTTCTTTGGCGGCCTGTTTTGGAATCCATTCTTTGTTCATAATCCAAAAGAGACCAGACATATTTTGTGGATTTTCGATAGGCATCAAGGAGCGAATGCTGTCCAACGCCGTATTGATCCATGGCAAAGACTGTTTTGGAGAACACCCTTACCTCAGCCATACCTCTGGACTGGATTAGAATCCTAAGAAGAGGACCCAAACTGGAGGAAGGGGACTGGGTTGTGTTCCGGATCGAGGAGGGCGAGGTGGGAAGTGTTGTGGTCGTACACGAAGATGGAGAAACACTGGTATATCTCTTTCAGTGCCCCACCATGACAATCATCTCAGCAGGACTGTCCCGGCCTCCCAGGACATTTTCAGAATAAGGGTCCTGAAGGACAAGGAGCACTGGGTGGGATACAGAACCAACACACCCATCACTTGCCTACCATTGTACTCAGCAGAATGGCAGTTGACCATCCTAATTGCTCGAGGAAGCTCCCACACCCATCACCATCACCTCCACTCCCTCTAATGGTTAAAGCCACATATTGGATCTGAACTAATCCCAGGTTGAGGAAGGTCCCACACCCATTCACCTCCACCCTTACTACATGGAATCTGAAACAATCCCAGGCGGTCCGCATCACCACTGAGGGAGTCATCTAATTTGTATTCCCCCATGCTGCTACCCATTCCTTTCATAGGAGGCTGTTCGTGGCTGCGGTCAGTGCTGCTGTTATCGTATCATTCCTCCTTCTCACATTCTGAATCCTCATTGTCCAGATCCAGCGCAAAGGCTTTAGACTTGAGGGGTTAGAATCCCCAGATAATGATGTTGGGCCCTCCTTGATGATATCAGCCATAGGTAAGGACTGTGAGGTGAGCAGCAGCCGCAGGAGGAGGAGGAGGAGGAGGAGGAGAAGAAGAAGAAGAAGAAGAAGAAGAAGAAGAAGAAGAAGAAGAAGAAGAAGAAGAAAAAGAGGGAGAAGGAAGAAGAGGAAGAAGGAAGAGGGAGGAGGAAGAAGAAGAGGGAGGAGGAGGAGGAGGAGGAGAAGGAGGAGGAGGAGGAGAAGAAGAAGAAGAAGAAGAAGAAGAAGAAGAAGAAGAAGAAGAAGAAGAAGAAGGAGACTGACCAGAAGAAGAAGAAGGAGACTGACCAGCGTAAAGGTGTCTCCTTGGCACTGGGATGCAGGTGGAAGACACCTGAAGACAAGCAGAAGCTATGGCCGCCGCACCAGGTAAGTCCGCAGGTACATCGCCGATAGCCTGGCCTCCGCCCTCAACCTCCTACTCCGCTACTCTACCTACTCTCGACTGAAACAGCGCTGCCCAACCGCGTGAAGACCTCCACCTCTAACTCTGCGTGCCTAAAATGAGGCTGACCCAGCTATATACAACGCTGGGCATACTGTGCTAGGCCGAAGGGAGGCAAGTCTGGCCCCCAAACTGAATCCCAGAACTGCTGCTCAGACCTCACTACAGTCCAAAACGAAAAGGGAAGGTCTGGTGCCAAGTCTGCACTGTCATGCATGACATTCAATTCAAAATGAAAGCTATGCACAATGATTTTTGATAAGTTTTGCTTCTAGTTTACCAAGAAAGGGCGTAATTGCAAAGTATAAGAAAAAAAAAACTGATGCAATTTGTCCAATAGTTACATAGGGTGCTTCCACAGGTTGACATCCAATCCAGCCTAAAAGTAAACAATCTGCCACAAGTAACCAAAAAAGTTTTTGATGAATGGGTCTAAAAGTTGAACTTCGTACATATGAAGTGTTAATAAAAGGTAAAGCAAATAGTGAAACAAAGACGAGCACTGGACGTGTATTGGTCCTACTCTGCTGGCAGATACACTCGGRCTAATGGGAATGTGACTGAACCAGACTGAAAATAGGGACTGAGGCCGACCAAGAAGACAATGCAGAGACCCAAAGGAAACATGGAACCCCCTAATCCCCAAGGGCCTGTGTATTGCATACCACAGCCTACCTCCGAGTATGGGATGCAGGTATAGTGTAGTGGCGGCCCTGCCTGAAGAGCTTATCGCTACTGAATGCCCACCACATTCCACTCATCAGAGGGAAATCAGATAGGCAATAACCACAAACAGGTTGTGAGACAAATGTGGAAAAATTTCCAAGGAAAAGGATGGGGAAGACAGTCATGGCACATTGTGTGTGTGTG